TCCGGCAGGGCCGAAATTCAGTGTTTCCATGATCTAATCACATGCAACCAAATATAAGTAGAGAAAAATAACATATTAATAATTATATACTACAACTAATATTAGTATAATTAATATACAGTAAATTCAGTGGTAGTGTTTGCTCTGATGCCTAAATTTTAGTTCGAATTTTTAACATTTGTTTCTTTTGATACCAGGTTGAAGTATGACCTACATTTCATGGCATGTAACAGGCAATGCAAACCCTTGTTGACTGCTCTAAAATGGTTTACCAAAACCAGCTGGAAGTCCACCTGATCAACTATCTAGACCACCTTGGATCAGATAAAGATCATACATGACCAATAAAATCTGGTTTTAGCTTAATTTTCCAACAGGGCTGGAATTCAGTGTTTTTTTCCCCCTATGTGAAATGAATGAGTAAATCACATCATGCAACCAAATAATTATAGGAAAAATTATTTGTATAAATTAATAATTAAATAATTATAAATAAATATCTCTTCCATAGCAAAATAGTTACACATAATGGTTGTGTGCTGTACTGCATTTGAAATTATGCCATAAAAAAATAATATATTACAGTAATAACAATCACCACAGAGAAAACAATTAGGTTGAATTTTTCTATAATATAACTTTTCTTTTTCTTTTGATGAAATATGACCTGGACCACTTTTTGTGAGATTTACTCATATAAACGGGTAGGTTTTACCTTAGGGGCAATCCGGACCCGCTTGCTCGCACTGCTGGAGCTGGGAGTGGAAGAGCTCTGAGCGTGTGGAGGAGTGGCGAGAGTCGCGGGACTGGAGGAGGGTAGGAAGAGTGACTGACCCAGAGGAAGCTGGATGGGAACCAGGTATGAGTCAGTCCGAGGCAGAAGCGGCTTCATCTTCCTCTCTGAGATCGAGCAAAGACAAACGACTGTCAGGAAAACAAACTCATCATGCATTCATTAATGCCTCTCATCCAGCCCAACACTCACCTGTGGCGGGTATGGCTTTCTTCAGCTCCGGAGGACCTCTCTTCTGTTGCTACGGAGAGAAAAAAGACTCTCTTTACTTTTACACAAAATGTGACATTCAAAATAACTGCAGTCTCAATACTGTCTGCCTTTTCGATGACTCTTAGATGATTAAAATAACAAAACAAGCGTTGATCTCGAGCTGAACGTGCTTCCATCTGTCTGACTGTCCCTGAAATAAAATAACTGATTCCTGGAGAAGCAGAGAGGCTGGTCCTGTTGATCTGCCATGAGAGGATGAATTAGTAGGAAAAGGGGTCTTACTTGATTGAAACCAATTTGTGTGATCTGAGGGCAAGTGGGGGTCACTGGGTCAACCAAAGGCTGTGGGATGAGCCAGGAAATGAGAGATGACCACATTTGAAGCATAAAATCGCAAAATGGACACAGTAGCACAGTAAGTGACTGGCACATAATGAAGCGAGTGTGTGATCTTTATTAAGACTAAAATGAGGTATACACACCTTGTAGACCTGGTCCAAAGTGAGACAGCGGTTTGCTTCCGGTCGAATCGTCCAATAGGAGATCTTGCCATCGGGAGATGTCTCCCGGACGAACATGTCATGCAGTGAGAGATTATGACGTATGGAATTCTAACAAAAAAAAATGAAACAAATCACACTCAGAAATCTTACAAGAGAGGTAAACTGAAACTATACTGGCGTTATACACTACTGTACCTTCCATCCGGGTTTGGCAACATTTCTGAAGTACGGAAAGTGGTCTTCGATCCAATTGTAAATTTCTTTCAGGGTCATGTGTCGGTTCTTCTTGCCGTTGATAGCAAACTGGATCATAGCCATGTAGGAATATGGTGGTCTCTCAGACAGAGGGTCCTTCTCCTTTTCTGGAGCTTTGGACTGCTTAAAAGGCAACAAACAAACAATTTTAAAGAATGAAATTTCAAAAAGCAAAACACAGAAGAAACATACAAAAAAGGACGTTTTAATCAACCAATTTGTAAAGCTGCAATTAAACGGAAACAGTGACAAATCTTTTCTTCCGTATTGTGGCATAAATCCTAGTGTAAAAAGAATGCAGGGCAGAGACTCGGCTCTATTCATCAGTTGTTGATATGTAGGTGTGACACTCAAAAATAAGGAATTTAAGCGGACTAAATGATTTGAGAAGTCTTGTATACACCACCAGTCTGTCGTTTTCACCAGAAGATCCAGTTATGTCATTTTGATTAAATATTACAGGTGACACTTTACAATAAGGTTCAATTAGTTCATGTATTAACTAACATGAAGAAACAATGAGCAATACATTTATTAATCTTTGTTAATGTTAGTTAATGAAAATACAGTCGTTCATTTTTAGTTCATGTTAATTCACAGTGCATTAACTAATGTTAACAAGCACAACTTTAGATTTTAATAATGCATTAGTAAATGTTGAAATTAACAATAAGTAAAAAAAAAAAATTGCTGTAGAAGTGTTGTTCATTCTTATTTCATGTTAACTAAAGTAGTTAACTAATGAACCTTATTGTAAAGTGTTACCTTAATACAAAACATTTTTTAAAACATGCACAAATGTATTATTCACAATAAGATCTATAACAGAATGCTCAAATATTTTAATACAAAGGACCAAAAATCAAACTGGATAGAGGGCCATGGGCCAAAAGTAAATGATGCATTATATTGCATTAAAATGTATTAAATTAAAAAACCTTTAACCAAAATTTAAATATTATTATTTTTTTTTTATGATTTTCAATCAATTTTGCGTATATTGTTTTGACCATTCCAAAGCAAAAAAAAAAAAAGTTCAAACTAAAATATAAATTAGAAATAAAGACATGCTTTAAAGGGGTCATATGATGCGATTTCAAGTTTTTTTGAGAGAGGCGGGGCATAGAGGACCTACAATAATGTACAGTATTTGAAAAATAATGTGTTTTTTGAACATTAAAGCATGTCAACATTCTGTTACACCAAATACACAAAATAATGATCTTTAAAATAGCATCATATGACTTTGACTTTAAGGGTGACTTTAATGTTGTATACCTGATGACAGTCACTTGGATTGTCCTCCTTGGTGCATTTTTGTTTTGACTCTGATCCAAGCCCATCAGAGCTCATTTTTCCCAGCCACTGGATGTTTGTCAGACTGTCATCAAGCGGGAAGCACTCCGTCTCCTTTTTCACTGATATCATAACAAAGAACATTTCAGAAAACAAATTTTTCAGAACATCCACACGCTTTTAAGGAAGTCTTAGCCACGTCCCTCACCTTTCTCAAGTTCATCCCTAGGTTTTGTAGATAAACACCCGAGGGCTTTTTCCTCCTCCAAACTGGTGCTGCCACTGAGCAGGATGAACTTGTTTCGGCCCTGAGGGCCGCACTCCTTCCCTTTGGCCGTCAGGGCGCTGATGACGCTCTGCAGATCGGCTGCTTTCGGGATCACCACCACCTGAGTGTCCGGCATGGTGGGGTGGTCCATCATCCGGATGCCATCAGGGAAGCAGCGGGCGGTGGACGGGGTCGGGCTGGTCTTGCGGAGCGGCCCATCTGCCTCATCGCACCCTGCATCAGATTCACTCTTCTGAAAAGGCAGCTTCCTCCTCTTCAGGATGATGGGTCTCCTCGGGCTCTCTCTCATTGTTTGCTCACAGCAAAAAAGCCTTCCTGACGACTGTCTACAACACATAAAGCACATAATATGTCATGTTTACAACTAACTTAAAAGTTTTCCTTCATAAATACAGCACATATTGGAACTATTCAGCTACTAGAAACTGGGCGCTTCTCAACAGCTGCGCAAATGATGATTCATACAAACAATAAAACAACATACAATCTTGAATCAAAAGCTGATGTGTCAAAATAAATGTGTGCATATAAAATACACATTCAATATCTAAAAAATATTATATATATATATATATATATATATTAGAAGATCTTTGCCAAATGTACCGATAAGAAGGTCTGTTGATAAACGACTTTTTTGTCTAACGTCTCTTGAATGACGATTTTAGTTCTAGAATATAAAATACCGTTACAAAATGATTACTTTCAATCTGGCGTACTGTTATTATTGTTGTTTTTATTGTTTGACAGATCATTCATATTTTTCATAAACAAAAGACTTTGTAAAATATTTGTGTAGAAAATAAAGAAAAATAAAGTGATTTTATTTTATTACAATGATCTCTCATCGCGTTGATCGTCGTTTTAAAACACATTAGAGCTTGTTGTCGTCTTAATATTTAGGCTAATCTAATTAAAGCACTAAATTATTAAAGTATAAACGATCTTCCTTTATTATCTGACATGCGGCCTAGTGACTCGTCTAACGTTACCCAACTTACTAAATTCATTCAAAATAAAACACACATCAAATAATACGAAGCGGATCAAACCTTCATCTCATGGCAGCCGTGCAGACGGTGGTTTATTGGAGTTAATCTGGCAGTGCTGAGTGATAAAATGTATTTTGATGAGGTAAAGGAAAAACTCGGGTCCCGGGACTCTTGTGCACATTTGGTGAAATTTTGAATTTTGGCGCAGAGCGGGACAGCTCTATCACGTGATCGCGTCTAGCCCAATGGAGGATACACATGGGCGGAGCCATCGCGCGGAGAGTGTTGCCGTTTTCTATGGTACAGTAAGTTATAGACTGTATAAAGGTTCCTTTCGGGGGCGGCTCCGAAATACAAATTCTGCATTCTGAAAAGCGGAAACCTTCTACATTTCTACAACAGAAATTATTTTAATATAAAATATTAATATTCTGTTTCAGTCATTTACATACGAGTGTGACTGGTGCGTTTTAGAAATGCGCTGAGAAAGGTAACACTGTTTATGTGCTGCTTCAGCAGCGGTCTGGTTTAAATTTTACACCTGAATAGGAACACTGATGAAAAATAATAATATTGGAACTTTAAAGATGCAATGAATAATTAAAAAGAATAATTAATATTTGGATCCATCCTACCTGACCAATCAAAACAACGTCCGGGCCACCAAGCCCCGCCTCTTCTGATAATCGACTGTTAGGCTAACTAATCAGTTTGTGTTTCTCTGGGAGGAACTGGAGTGTGTGAACCGAGGATGAACCTCAGTCAGACGGTTTATCAGTGTCTTTGTCGAATTTACATGGTCCAAAGAAAAAATACAATGCAATTGAGAAGAAATACAAAGCGATGCGTGAGTATCAGCTAAGGTTTTCATTGCATGCCATGTATATTATCCACGTGCGAACTTTCTCCATAGTACTGCTAGCATCTGTTACTAAGGGACATTGCATAAAACATGATAAAATGTCAATGAGATTAGATAAGACGTTTTGCATGAGTATTACGTGTTTTGGGACTTATAAATGTGTTAGTAGTCAGTATCTGTCTTAGAGAATTAAACGTGTATTCCTGCGTGCCACTGACAGATCAGTAGTAGTAGTAATTCTCTGCCTCATGTCGTCTTGTTTTTCTTCCTTGCAGCGTATCATGTCTTCTAATGCCCCGCAATTCACATAAGAAGAGGCTGCTGAACCCGCACAAATCTCAGCTGTTGTTCGTGGGGGCGCCCATTAATGGACCAAAGCATGAGTATGGACCACAACTACAGAGTGCCATTCATCCCAAGTCATTTATATCAGAGAAACAACAGCAAAGTGGTGCACCATGTACCTCTTGGGTATGTGCATGCTTTGCAATCCTTACTTATATGTTATGTGTGAAGACATTTTATAAACTGATATATTGTCTGTTTGTAGGTGTCTCCGCAGTTTAATTCGCTCGAAAACACAACGGTTAGTCGACGTAAGGCACCAGATTTGGGTTTCCCCCAGACTAGAAGAGCAAATGGCTGCAAATATATTCCCTTGTCCTTTGAGGCAACCACAGCAGGTTCGCAGCACCAGCGGGAGAACTTTAGTAGTTCACGGACAAAGAATGACAGGCTTGTTTCTTCGGACGGTCATAGCAAGCAGCTTCGAGAAACTCCAAGAAGAACTCACTTTCCTCGAAAAGGGGTGGAGAGGAGGATGGCTACACGTGTTATATCCATCTCCAGGCGTTCAGAAGTTTCAAAGAAACTTCAGTTCCATAAAAATGGAAATAGAACGCCTAAGGATTCTGTTCACACACCGAACACAAGCTTATTAGTTCCCGAACCCCCAAATGTTGAGACGCCAGAAATGCCACATTGTTCCAGCATGCCTCCATCCAATCTTCAACATCTCCTCTTCCCTCCAAACCAAGCAAAAACTCCTCCGCGCACTGAGAACACGAATGTCCCGGTGAAGGACACACCTGAGAAAGACTATGGACTGAGGGTAACATGGAGGCGGAGGAAAGGACTGATGAAATTGTTGACTGACAGAGGTCTGCTTCTTCCAGCAGATGCTGGAGTTGCCAGTGATTGGACTTAAATAATAAATTAACAGATACAGCAATAATTTGATTAGTTTTGTAGCCTTTTCTGTTCAATACGGATTTGATAAGATTTGGGAAATTGTGATCACTTAACAACCGAGAAAATTTAATATATGAACACTTCAGGAGAGAGGAATTAAAGATGTCATTTTGATGTCCCCAGCCTTATTTAATAGAATCACCTTTGCATTCTGTAGGACATCAATAAATTATGTACTTAAATGTAAAATACACGCATCTGTTGAATATGCCTTTATTCACAAGATTTTATTTAATTCATTCAATTTTTTTTTAACCAAAGGGAGTTTGTGTACGTTTGTCTATGCAAGAAAAGTTAAATATTTTTAGATTTTATAGTATTTTGAGAAAGTCTAAAATTGATCAAATATGGAAAATATAAAACACACACACATACATACATACACACACACACAAACACACACATATATATATATATATATATATATAAAATATCAGCTAAAATATGAACTTAGAAATATAAGAATTTTGATTTAAAATATTTTGGTCTCTACTTAATTCCCATATTTTTTACAGAATATATATTCTATGTATATTATATATATTCACATATATGTATGTGTGTGTGTATATATATATATATATATATATATACACAAAATGTTTTTATGTACTTACTACTACTATTATTATTATTATTCGTTTTAAAGTTTAATATTCCCCTAAGAATTGGGACACCACTACTATGCCGTCACACGTCATCATACGTCATCTAGCTCCTACAATACACAAACCTATACTGGTGTGCTGGTGTGCATTAGAGCCTTTAATTATCGTTCTATATTAATGCGCTGCTTACACACACACACAAACACACACATATATATATATATATATATATATAAAATATCAGCTAAAATATGAACTTAGAAATATAAGAATTTTGATTTAAAATATTTTGGTCTCTACTTAATTCCCATATTTTTTACAGAATATATATTCTATGTATATTATATATATTCACATATATGTATGTGTGTGTGTATATATATATATATATATATATATACACAAAATGTTTTTATGTACTTACTACT